ATGAGGCAGAGTATATGCAGACCCGCAAAAGGGGAGCCCCGAAGATGGGCTTGCGCTGAGTGGTGCCACTATACCTTCAGAAAGCCATTGGCAAATGACGTGGACAGTGATGGGGGTGGAGCGGCCTTGGGAGAAACCTGCGTAAGGGGTTGGGAAGAGAACGGCTGAATGGAAAAGTGAATGAGAACCAGGGACACAGGGGAACTGAGGCTGGAGATAAAAGGGAAGGTTCTGACTGGTTAGCTCCATAAGTCTTGGGTCCTGCAGCTCACGTGGTGCAACTGCACTAAATATCTGTAAGGCTGCATTGCCCCACCTGCCCCACCTGGCGTCTTCCGTCATTGGAAGGCGTCCTGGGCAAGGAGATAGGCAGGTTCTTTCTCTGGGGTCCATCTGTGAAGTATATTCAGTTGCAAACATTTGTGACGTCTTGCTGCCTTGGTTGACCTACCTTGCTGTCTCTAAGGAGGGAGCATCTACTCAGAGGGTCCTCACTGAGCCAGAAATTAGAGCTAATTCACTTTCATCTTACAGCTTTGACCCGGCTTCATAGACGAAATGGTTTCACACAAGAGCAAAATTGTTGCAGAATATTACCCGAATAGATTACTTCCTACTAATGTGTAAGGGTGATGTTTAGATCATGCTGCCTGTAATGTATGGAGGGTTTTTATTCTATGCTTTAACCATGACTCCTAAACCCATGTCGGGTCCTTGTTCCCTTGTAGATTATTGCCGTGCATCCGCATTTTCTGAGATCCAGCTGCAAGCAGTTTGTTACCGGAGGGAAGAAGGTAAACACTGTGTGTCTGCCATCCCGTGCAGCCTTGGAGGGGGGTTCTGTTTGCTATTTAACTTATCCTGAATATTTTTAATGTCTGACTGTACACTAGGACAGGGGTGGGCAAACTGAGGTGCGCGAGCCACATGCGGCTCTTTGGGTACGTTCCATTTCAAAAGTTTGCCGACCCCTGGAAGAGCCAGTCCTGTCCCTCACAACAATTTAAAAATGATTCGAGAGCCATAAATATATTTTTACATAATCACCATTATGTGAATAATATCCTATAAAAATTTTATAAATGAAACTATGATAGTTTTATTTTCATTTTCAATTTTACTTCAGAACCACAGTTCGTGAGCCGCAGTTTGCTGTCCCCTGNGATGGTGGTTTAGAAAATAAAATCTGCCAGAATAGAGGGTGATTTAAGGGGGAGAGTGATTGGGCACAAGAGACAATTTTGAAGGCGAGTGCAGTACTCTAGGCAGGGCATTACAAGATCTCAATAAAAAGAGCAGGAGTGAGTACAGGCCTACCTCAGATATTGAGGGTTTGTTTCCAAACTACTGCATTAAAGCAAGTATTGCAATAAAGCAAGTCATAATCTTTTTGCTGGTGGAGGGTCTTGCCTTCAGTTTGTAAAATCGCAACACGTATGAAGCACAGTAAACAAGGTGTGCCTGTATTCAAGATGGAGAAGAAGAAATGAACTTGGAAAGTGTTTGGGAGGTAGACTTCACAAGCCTCAGCGATGGATTTGATGAGGGTGATGGCGGATGAGGCCCTGAGGGTGAATCAAGGTTCTTCATTGGCACCAGTGTGTGCAGATGCCATCTTGCAATAAGGGTGATTTGAGTAAAGATGTTGCTGGTGTTGTCTGGAGTTTAGATAATGTAGTACATTGATAGAAATGTTATGGAGGTTTTGGAAATATGAGTGTAGAACTTAGGATGGAGATTGACCTTAAAAACACAAAGTTGATAGCCATAGTTGAGTAAGATGAAGCCATTTTTTAAAGGTATTACCTAGTTAAAAATTAAGGAATGAGAAGAGAAGAAAACTGATGGTGAAATTCTAGAATAGGCTGCCGTGGGGGTGAGTGGGGGTGGGGGAAGCTCGCGAGGGATCTGTGCAGAACCATTAGAGGTAACAGGCGGTCCGGAAGAGTGGTGTCAGGAAGCCAACGGGGAGAGGGTTTCCAGAAGGAAGAAGTGGGCAGCAGTGTGGAGATGACACGAGGTGAGAACTGAAACAGGGCATTTTATTTGGAAATGATGAAGTTACTGGCAGCTTTAATGATGCGTTTGAAGAGCAGAAGGATCACCATATGTTAAGTAAATTGGAGATAAAGAATTAAAAACAGCTAGCTCAGACTCTTTCTAGAACTTTGTAAGGAAGAAGAGATCATCAGTTAGATAGAGAGGCAGTGCCCAGGGAAGGCTTCTGCAGATCATGTGTTAGTGGATGGTAAAAAGTCATTAGGAGGGGAGACTGAAAACAACAGAAAGGGTGTATCTAGAGGAGCAGCACCAAAGAATGGGAGCGGCCATGTAGGGAGGGCTGAAAAGAGCTTTCCGGAAGAGCCCTGCAGCCTCTGCCTGTGAGACAGGCCTGAAGGAGGTGAAGGAGCCCAACTCCTGCTGAGTCGGGTGGCAGGGGCAGCAGGAAAGCCAGTGACCGTGGGGGTCTTGTTTCCTAGAGCTGAAGGGGAGCAGGGCTAAGATGCTGTAACTGTGTCGCATAGGGGATGTCTGGAGCGGCAGTTGCTATCTCGAGTTACGTGTTATGAGAGCTAAAAGGACTCTTACAAGAAAGAGGTTTTAAGAATGAAACAACAGAATGCATAAATGATTTGATTCCTATCTAGAGGGGATTAGGAAAGAG